TGAGACCGAGACCAGGCCTGAGACTGGGACTGAATCCGGCACCGAGACCGGCACCGCTCTGGGACCGGGACTGAGACCGGGACCGGCACCGCTCCGGGACCGGGACTGAGACCGGGACCGGCACCGCTCCGGGACCGGGACTGAGACCGGGACCGGCACCGCTCCGGGACCGGGACTGAGACCGGGACCGGCACCGCTCTGGGACCGGGACTGAGACCGGGACCGGCACCGCTGCGCCATTGAGATCGACACCGGGACCAGAATCGGCTCCGGGAGTGCCCCGGGACTGCTCCGAGACTGAGACCGAGGCCAGCACAGGGACTGGGATCAACACCAGGAGTGCTCCGAGACCAAGACTGAGACCAGAACCGGGACCGGCACCGGGATCGCGCCAGGACCAGCACCGGGATTGCTCCAGGACCAGCACCGGGATCGCTCCAGGACCAGCACCGGGATCGCTCCAGGACCAGCACCGGGAACGTTCTGGGACCAGCACCGGGATCGCTCCAGGACCAGCACTGGGACCGCTCCAGGACCAGCACCGGGATCAGCACCAGGATCGCTCCAGGACCAGCACCGGGAACGCTCCGGGACCAGCACTGGGACCGCTCCAGGACCAGCACCGGGATCGCTCCGGGACCTCCGCGTTCACTCCTGGGAGTTTTGGCCATGCCTTCAGGTAAAACTGCGTGAGACTTCGAGGGACTGCGAGGGATCCCTGTGTTAAGAATAATATGTTACAGTTGCTGTTTGTAAACTCCTTACTTACCTTGTACCCCTGTCCCAGGTTTACTTACCTTGTACCCCTGCCGCAAATTGCTGTACCCCATATTTCTTGTTTGTGTTCAGCCAGGCACTGCCCCCACTGCTCCTAGACTCCCACATGGTAATTGTATCCCTGCCCCGAGTTGCTGTATAGTCCTGAGGAGGAAGATGACATAAGGACTTTTATGCAAACAAGAGAGACCAGAGACTTATGGGATGCACCCAGACTGGAAAAAGCCCCGAAACAACGAGCCACGCAGAAGGGAAGGAATAAAACCAGCACCATCTAACAAGGAAGACCCAGAGGAGTCCCCTGACTTCTTTCCAGAGGCCGACATAACCTTGAGGAGACTCGACTGGGATGACAGCCTAGACTACAAGCCCTAAAGAATGAGTTTTCCTGGGGACTCCTGTGAGGAAGGAAGGCCCAGCTCTGCCCTAGTGACAAAGCTGCACGGATCCCCCTCTTCTGTGGTGTCCAGTGGGAGCAGTGGCGGTGTGCGCAACCCCTTGGGGCCCCCACCCCAGAGCTGTCCTGTTTAATAAAGGCCTTTTTAAAAGGAGCTGGTCTCTCTTGTTTGCATAAAAGTCCTTATGTCATCTTCCTCCTCAGGACTATACAG